AACATACGATAATACCATTGGACTTGCACAAACTAGCAATTGTGTCTATCTTGAATAATATTGTCAGAGCTTTCTACCAATCAGAGTCCAATTCGCAAACCTTTTGGACCAGGTACCTGCGCTTGCGCTGAACACCTGTCGTCTTACAATTACCCATACACGACATACAAAATTAAAAATCGTTTTCTAACAAAATTAAAACGATTTCATAATTACAAAGCTATACAGGCTATATAGTGAAGTATAAGTGACAATTCTCTAACTATTGTTGTAAGTTCCTTGGAAATACGCTTTTAATAAAAGCTTTAACCAATTAAACAATATAGCGGCAGAAAAAACAAAACGAATCGTAACCAATTTGTGGTGAGTCACCCGCCGTCATGGGAATTAAATTTAATTGTTGGTCTTTCTTTCTGTCTAGCCAGAGAACTTGTTCAGAACTTGAATCTCGGGAAACGTACAATTTCTTTATCAGTGTCTACTAGGTAATATAATTCACAGGTACTGGACGACAGAGAGTCTGATATTTGCTGTAATATTATCAGACTATCAGTTAATACCGATGTATACGTTTAACTAAGCTTGACGCCAAAAGCGGCATGTAAGTGCAACAAATTAAGCGGCAACTTAAGAAAACTGAACTTACCGGTTAAAAGCAGGATTATTAGGCCCCACATGATTCCAGCCAAACGATTGAGGGTTTTACACTGGAGCCATAATCTCATTTAACAAATACCAATGTTTACGCGACTCAGCTGACGTCTTCACGTTCGCCAATCAACCAAACACTCGCGCACTGCAGGACCCGCACGCTGCAGTGTCAACGACCACGGGAAAAACTGGTCACTTCTTACGAGAAGAGATACTTCGGTTTAAATTTCAAACGAATTCATCGTTGAATTTGACAGATGTAATGATAGTAACATTCACATGGCCCCAATGACTAGACGAGCTCGGAGCGCGATCGCGGCGCACGGCGGCTGACTCGCGAGTTAGCGGAGTGAGCCGAGTGCGGGGGCCGAGGCATGCGCACCGCGCCCGCACCGCACCACGATATTGACCGACGCCTCCTTCTCACATCGAACATCCTTAACTAGGCACTACGAATTCTCCTTTGAAAAATCCCTCAATTCCCCCTACGGAGATAGGCCACGTTTACGGAATCTCTACGTGATATAGAACAGCTGCCGTCAGCCTTAGTTTATTCAACACTGCATTGTGAATACAATAATTGTGGTGTTTTTTTTTATTTTTGAACCAATAAATACGTGGCCTTACTTGCGTTTTATTTTACGTAAAATGGGAGATGAATTTATGTAATTAGGTTGAAGTGTTATTTATATGCTAGTATGTATAACAAATTAAAGCCAATAATTATCACAATTGTATAGTTTACTAGCTGACCCGGCAAACATTTAGTTTTCCCATGTAGCTATATTATTTCTAGGAAACATTTTTTTAGTTCAATAAAAATAACTATCTACAATAATAAAAAATAGGGGTTCATCGTAGAAAGGTGAATATTAGGGGTTGTATGTATGCTGTATCATAAAAAAATAAAAACATCTAAAAAATAAAAAAACATATTTTGGCCACCCCTTATCACTTAGGGGTTTGAATGATATCCGATTCTCAGACTTACTAAATATGTAAAAAAAAATATAAGAATCGTTTGAGTCGTTTCGGAGGAGTAGGTATAAGAACGAACATTGCGACACGAGAATTTATATATTAGAGTTCTTGTAAAATTATTACATTTAAATTATTTTATTGCTGAATATTCCTGAGATGATTTAATTCTGTATTATTATAATAATAACGCTATCGTTGGGTCAAACTGTCTGACACGTTTAAGAGTTTATAAGGTCAACAAAAACAGTATATCTCATTTACCCATATTTTCATAGTTCGCTTGCCAAATACAAATTAGAGCAATGGCTACAATCCAGAATGGCCTGAAATTTACGGACAAAATTGATGATATGCGTAACAATATATCATTAAATGCGAAGTAAATTATAATTGTTAATATCATTAAATAACGAACTATATTTTGAAAATAGAAATAATTTATTGATTTATACCGACAAATTAAATGTTATTTAATTAAACATTTTAGGTAATTCCCGGTAGCATAAGTCAGTAAAAGACTTAAGTTTCGGATCGTAAACGGAAATTGATATAATAAATGGCCCAAATCATTTACTTTAATGAACAAAATATCTAAAGAATAACGGGTGTAAATAAATTTAAACCTTATATATTTCAATTGACTACTAATAGTACTTTAATTATTATGTAAAAGTGTTCAAGTATTTCAAGTATGTGTTGATTAACAAATAATAAAGAATTGGATTATTTTAGTGTATCTGTGATACAGCCTCACGGCACATAACTCGGGCTTTATATCCAGTAAAATATAGGGAATTTAAAGGAATATAGGTGATGTCGTTTATTTATTCCATTTAACTTTAATTTACTTTATTTTCCGTTACTCATTCTCGATAGGCTTGTAGCATACTAAATAATTAAATAGTTATATTACGTATATATGTTACTGTAAATGCTCGAACTACGGTTAATCTTAAGATTTAAGTGTAAGTCTAAGGATTTACCGACATGAGTTGGTAAATGTAAGAATTTCTGAAAATACGACGATTTTTTCGAGCTTTTACCATTCGAATTCAGTATGCTAGGTTTTACCACTGTCAGCTGGTAGATGTTGGTTTTAGGAATAAAACAATGTGTAATTCTTAATTAAGTATTTAGTTTAATGAACTATAAGACAAAACAGGTACATAGTATTATAAAGGTATCATATGATAGTAATAAGTACAAACTAATACCAACTTACTTAAATTATTTTGAAAAAAACACATAACGTTTATCTCTGAATATCTCACCTACATAAGGTACCTAAAAAAAATATTTCACTTGTTACAACACGGATTGCTATAGTGGCACTTAGAATTACAAGGTAATCCTGATGATCTGCAGGTGCATTTTTTTGTTTTTCAACATTTACCGTGCCATTAATGTAAATCCTAAGATTTACCAACGGAATGGTGGTAAGAGTTCGAATGGCAAACCTTTTTGGACATTTACCATTAGGAATTGGTAGATCTTAGGTTTTACTGGAATATCTTAGGATTTACTGCAGTTCGAGCTTTTACAGTAACATATATGTTTTTTTTTGTTTCTTTTAATCTGGATAACACAAAAATTCCGTTCTCGGTCTGGTTAAATATTATTAAACGAAAAACAATGTGAGGATTCATACTATCTGTAACAGTCAAGTTCCGGTCGAACGAAAATTATATACGAAGAATATTTTATCAGAAGGAGAATGAATTGTGAACAGAATTATACCTAGTGTATATCCAGCGGTAAGGTTTTTTCATAAAAAGGTGTCAATAGAACTAGATTATTAATTTCTTCTTGTTATTTATTATTCAATTAGTTTTTCATTTTAAGTTCAGTTTCATTACTTGCTATGAGCAATGTCCCCCGTGCATTCGCTAGATCCGGCCTAGTATATGTATGAGGTCTTAGAAAACAATTTTTTTTTGAAGTCATGACCAATATTAAAGTTTATTTTTACTTCAAGTTCTCAAAAATTAGTCTTCATGTGACACAAAAGTATATGTGAAACTTGTAACATTGTCTTCTCAAAGACTCTTAACATAAAATACATACATCAAGACATAAATATAATACTTAGAAGTAATATAGGTGAAAAGGCAGCCTTACAGGCGCGGTTATTTCAAAAGTAACAATGACCAATGTTCTATGGTTTCTTTTAATTAATGTCATTTATTTAACTAATGTGCGTAACTATATACTACGTTTACGCGATCAATATATTACATAAAAAATATATTACATAAAAAATATTTATAACTAATGGATTTAAAAATGATTTTATTCTTAAAGTTTAAGATTAAGTATGTTTTTTTTATTACAAACTTCAAAGCTGTGTAAATTTTAGTAAGTAGGTAGTCCTAATAATAGTTATAAAAAAAATATATTCTAGATTGAATAGTTTATTATATAGAAACGTGTTCACGTCACGTCTTCATATTTTGATAGTGGGTAGACGATGGGCGTACCTTCTCCAATTTTTTCATATTCGTCTACCGCATATAAATTTCGTTTCGGCGCGGAGATACTGATATGAATATCTGTTTTTGTTACATTTTCATTATCTTATAAAGATTATCGAATCAATTCAGTCAGTCAGAAAAAGACAAATCAATAGAATGATTCCATTTACCAGTTTACGAACAGGCAGCTAGGTTATACTAGTCAAATTTAATTGTAATGGTCTCTGCTGATAATCAGCAAGCTTACCACATATCTATAAGAGCAATTTTAATAACTTAATAGTCAATCAATTAGCGGGCCTTGTTATTTCCCAATAATATACTGAGAACGAAACACATTTTATTATATAACAGGTTGCAAACGGGCGGATTACCTGACGTTAAGTGATTCCGCCACCCTTGGAAGGCCGCTCGCCGCCCGCCGCTATTGCCAGAAGGTGCGTTACCGGCCTGTTAAGAATTGGTACGTCCTTTTCTTGAAGGACCTTAAGTCGAATTGGTTCGGAAATACTTCAGTGGGCAGCTGGTTCCTCGTAGTGATATTTATGTATTTAAATAATTTAAAAAAAATACGAATAAAAGTGAACTGTTACTTGAAATAAATGTGATGATCAGACCAAGAAAAATAATTCAGGCTTTTTGGAGTCAATACAAAATCTTCTCTTTCAGGTTCATATCAGTCACGAAAAAACCAGTAGCGCTACATTTTAGGTCTGGGCCTCAGATTTCTGTATCTGTTTCGTAATCATTTGTTTTTTTTTTCTAATAGGCTAGGAGGTGATCAGGCTTTTGTGCCTGACATACACCGTCGAATTTTCCGTAGAGTTCAGTCACAAAGGGATAAATAAAATAGACACATATTATTTAATATTTATGCAACTACATAATAAAAACAACTTAGTTATTTAAAGAGTTCTCCTTTTCAAGTTTGGTCTTCGTCCATGCTTGTAAAAATTGCTTTCTGATTTCAAATGCTATTACCGCGGTTGCCATTCCTGTGTTAAGACTATCTACTCCTTTTTGTAATGGAATATTTAATCTTAGACCATCTTTTTCCAATGCAAATCTGTAATAATATATTGTCATTATGTGCAAGAATATAGGCTAAGTGGTTAAATGCATAACCCTTAATATATTTGCCAAGATTTTAAAAGCTGTGTCTAATTATTTATTTAGTGACTGATAAAATCTAATCAAATTATTGTTTTTATTCGATTAATATGCCTAAAAAAATAATCATTCATAATTTCAAGATCCCGCCAAAACGCGTTTCTAGACAAGATGGCGTCGCACCAGTCCCTACGACGCCCCATGCTTTAAACACGTAAATAAACTACAAGATTTGTATGTATGAATAATAATTCTTAAATTACACAAATATTATATTTCGATCAAAACCAGTCTCCGACAAAATTTTACTCCAAGATAGTATCAGGATTAGACAGAACACAAATTATTTGACTTATCTGTGACTGTTGTATCACGTGACTATCGTATAAAAATCAATATTTGTTTAGTTATGAATTTTTGATATATTGATGATGTAAATACAACTAATTTTACTCAGTAACGCTTTTTAAACTGTTGTTTAATACAGGCTGCTCTCAATAACATGTCCTTCCTTCCACAGTCCTTAGTGTGATTCAATAAACTGAAAGGATTATCATTGAAACAGATTTTCTGCTTCTAATAATGCAGAAATCAATATCACTGAAATCCAAGTTAAGGGACAATGCAAATGCATATGTAATGTTTGAATTTAGTTTTCACTTCAATTACCTATAGCTATCTTCACTAATCCCTTCAGTCTCACCACCAATCACAAGTGTGATGTGATTTAAATTTGAGAATTCCACCCCATAATATGGCAACAACGGTATTTGTGACATCAAACTGTTATCTGTGTCTGAATCGCTGTCAGCAACATTACTGTCAGCTACAAATATTGAAGTATTGGGATTGAGAATGTTCGGAACATCCTCCCAAACTACTGAAGTGTGGATAGGTTGTCGAAAATGTGCACCAGCAGCACTTCTTATCACTTTTGGATCCCACAGATCAACACATCCTGGAAAAATAATTTATTAATAAGTTGTAGGTCAAGTCTCTTTTGTTAATTTATTTTTTAAAGATAAAATCAGACTTCCCCCACATGTCAACTAAAACCTTTAAATATTTTAAATCTGATCTAATTGTTCAGAACCTAGTATACATAAATAGCAAAATCTGATGACAGTATCACAAATGATTTAAATTTTTAATGACTATTAATTAAATAATTAATTAATCATTCTATTGATTAAGGCAAAGTATTACCTTACCACCTTTAATTTAAAAAGATTGTAAATATCAGATGAAAATAGATTTTAATTTAATATACATATTACCTTTTGTCAAAAGTACACTTTCACAGCCTGCTCCCACTGCTGCCCTCAGGATAGCACCAAGATTACCAGGAACTCTTATATTATCACAAATAAATGTCATTGGCAATGGTCTTGATTTGGGCTTCACATTTTCAATACTTGGCATTTCAAATACACCTAAAAAAAGGGAGTTAGGCAATGAATTTTACATTTTAAATAGTTATAAAATATAATATCTGATTGAGAGATTGAGGACTCATGCATACATTTAATTATATTAAACAATGTCATTATATTTTAAGGTATTGTGACATGTGCTGAAACAGATCTCTAATAAAATATAATAGATGCCATCAAAACATAACATGTTAAACAACAAGTTGGTTCATTTATTGAGTTCCTACTTAAGGGACCTTCTATCTTAAGTTATTACGTAATTAGCTAACGTAACAACATCTTATAGTGACCATATCAATATTAAAAACCTTTCTTTTAAATCAATTGATTGACTAGGCAAGCACACTAAAGACTACACAATTTAATATAATTATAATATGTATTAATTGTAAGATACATTGTATTTTCATGCGATGACCAAGTCAATGTAAAGTTTTAAAATTTACTAATTTAAAAAAAATCGCAGACAACTCATTTATATTTAGTGTAAAAGCTTATTTACAAATAAGTACCAATGAAAACTATGTCAAAACCATTATCATTGGATTATTATTAAATTTGGGACCATATTATGTAAAATAATGTAAAGAGTAATAAAATTTTACCGAATATCCCTGGTGGTGTTTCAACATCTGACCATTTCTCTATCTCTTTGTATGATATTTTATATATCTCTACTCCTGTATTTGGTAAAAATGGATGCAAAGCACTTAAGTCCTTTGTTTGACTAAATATAACATACTTCAATTTGCAATTAGCTTCGAGTCCATCTACAATCAAGCGCCATCCCTCAACAAGCATTTGATTTGTGCGAACTCTTTCTTTTTTAGATTTTAACTTAACTAATAGAGAACTGAAACAATTAATGTAATAAGTATGTAATTGTTAAGATTTTAAAAACCTCATGACAGTAGAATCAGTACTAGCATAGTTATATTACTATAGAACTTTACCTTATTCTGCTATCATTTTCTTTTAACTTCTCATACATTATATCTCCATTATCATCAAATACTTTTTTTTGGTTAAGATAAAAGTTTCTCTGTTTGAGTTTATTCTCTTTTTTCTTTCTAATATCTTCTGATACTTTTATAGGTAACTGAGGAGTACTACTGTTTTCTTGCTGTGTCAAATTATCTGAATTTTCTTGTTTTGCCAAATGTTTTTGTTGTTTTTGGTGTGTATTGTTCAGGTTGGTATTTACAGTTTTCGTTTGCAACTTTGTAGACCCAAGTTCTATAATTTTTTCCTTTTTTAGCGTGACATTTTCTTTATTTTCAAATGGTAGAAGGACTTTAGCAGGCTTTCTATGCATCCATCTGCAATATAACCTAGCAGAACTTATACTAACATTGGAAACTTTTAAAGTTCTAAACAGACCGTAAATATTTGCAGACATAATGATACCAAAACTGATAGATTTATAATTATTTATGAGTGAATTTATAATTAGTATTCGGATTTCAGTTACATGATAAACTTAAACAAAATTTATAGTATTTAGGGATGTGACGATCAACAATCGACACGATACTCGATACGATCCGAGTGGTAGATCAATTCCACTCATCAACTATCTGTATACGATATAACTTATCTAAATATTGATTTTTTAAAGGCATTGTATTGTAGGCATCTTACTTGTTAAAGTTTAAACTTTAGTTATTATAAATATAAACTTTAGTGTAGACGAAAATACTTAAGGAAACTTTAATTGAAAAGTGAAATCTTTCATGCTACATTACAGTCTGATATTGAAGAGTAGCAGGTTTCAAATACTTTACTGTACAAAATAGTTTACAAAATAACCTAAAAAGTTTTTAACTTTAAGTTAACCACACAACACTTTATTATTTTAAACATATATCAAATACTATACAGTATATTTTTAATTTAATGCAATGTTTTTAGATCGAGCTTTTGAAAATCGGATCAACCTATAAAAACTATCCCTATTCAACATAGTTTGAATAGGGATGGTTCATGGAAGTATGATGAAGTAGGAGTACGAGGAACATAAACTTGAAATCATATTTTAATGCTGTACCCACAGATTACTTTATTTTTGTTTAATAGAAAACAACACATGTGCAGAAAATGTTCAGTTCGTTTAAATAATTTTTCAGTAAGTTATATTTCTAGTAAATTTATTGCTATATTTTAGAGGTTTTAAATCATACATTTTATAAAATCTAGTGAATTTTTTACACAGTGTGTCTAAACAAAGACAATAAACAGCTGATATTTTACAAACGGCAACACTGTATATGAAAAATCAAAAACAATACATTGAACTTCGAAGTCAGCTGAATCGTGGACTATTTATTTATTATATTTGCGTGTTGATGTTTTATTTATAAACTGAAACAAACACTAAACAAAATGGCAACAGGCGTAAAACCTCGTGATGAAGAATCTAAGCTTACGAGAGCCGATCTTGATATCTTACAAGACGCCATGAAACATAAGAAGTTTCGAGATTTGTTTGCCGAATATTGTGAAGAGATACGTGACCCGGCGAATCAAGCGGTTTATCAAAAAGAAATGACCCAGCTAGAGAAGGAACGAGGTTATGACGTTACTTTTATCAATCCAAAAGGAGGTTATGTGATTAAAACAAGCGTAGCGGGTGATCGGAAAGCTTTTATTAATATCTGTAGCAACGAAAATATCGATAAACCTTCGTGCAAAGTTCAAGATATTAATGGACAAAAAGGTATGAGCTGGCAACTCCCATATTCTCTTATTCCGCCAAGGGAAGATTATAATAACAAGAAGGAAAGATGTGTTATTTATGACGTTGTTTTCCATCCCGATACATTACGCATGGCCGAGGTTAACAAGCGTTTCCGGGATCTTGTAAATAAAACTGCATTTGATGGTCTTCAGAAATCATATGAAATCCACTTAGATATTAATAATGTACGTTTTCCGAAGTCCTATTACAAGGGTATGTCTGTACCTGCAGTTATCAGGAAAGAAGACCCCGATTATAAACCTACTGAAGAGACAGAAAATAGTGAAGCAGATCCTGAAGGCTTAGAAAAACTATATCCCCAACATAATTATTCGCATGACAATAATAAAAATGAATCTAATACACCCAGTGAAAAGATGAAGTCTGTAAAATCTTCCAATATTGATTTCACCCATACCAGTGGCAATGGATATACAGTACCTAAATATACAATTAAACAACAGAAAAATGTTGATTTCCAAGAATACACTTACAGCAAAGATAGTAAACAGTACACAGCAATTCCCAGTCATATTATTGTGGAAATTAACTTACCCTTGCTCTCATCTACCAAAGACTGCATTTTAGATGTAAAAGAACGAGACTTAAACCTGACTTCAGAGAAACCAGCAAAATATAAACTTGATATTAAACTTCCTTATACTGTTAATGAAGACAGTGGTAAAGCACAATTTGATCAAACTAAACATCTATTAATAGTTACATTACCAGTGGTTAGAAGGACTTCTAAGAACAGTGATAAAATAGATAGTGGTGTTGAAAGTGAAGAGTTGTCAGGGTCCCATAGCGAGGAGGAGGGTAAAGAGGAGAGTAATAATTTAATAGTGGAGTTTAATGCTTCTTCAATCATTATGACATCTGAACCAGATAACCATCACCATGAAAACGGCTTTCTTCTGCCAAACATTGGCTATATTCTTCCTACATACACATACAATGTGTTAGATGATATAGTGGCTTTTACATTTCATGTTAAAAACACTGATCCAGCATCAGTGGCAGTTAAAAATATTGATAATATTGTCGAAATCAAGTTTACCTCCATGGGTTCTGGATTTGTTCCAGTTCATTATGCTGCCATTCTGTCATTTTGCCATGATATTAAATTCAATGATGCTATTGGCGAGGCATGGGACAATAATGTTATCTTACAATTAGAAGTTGCAGGCAATGTGCCTACTGAATTTGAAATTGGTTTGAGCAAAGAGTCTATGACAAAGGAGTATTTAGATGTCTCTAAAATTAAGATAACTAAACCTGAAGTATGCGAAAGCTTGCCCAAGATTCCTGAAGATAGTGTTGCACCTGTAGTTGAAGTTACTAACTTTGGCATAGAAACCAATATACTTTTATCAAGTTCTAATCAAAAAGAATATGAAGATGATGACACTATGAAAGAAACTGATATAACCTGGATTGAAACTGAAAAACCCTGTGAAAATGGGGCAAAACCTATTTTAAGGAAACCTATTACAATGATGAGAAGTTATTCTGAATCAAGTTATGGAGATGTTGCATCATCCATGGATTACATAAGTTCTGACTGTGTCCCAGAAGAGTCAAGCTTAAAAAAGACTGTTAGGTTTAATAATGTTATTTCAAGACAATTCTACAGGTATTTTTTATTAAAACAATCTAATACATTAATGTTTCATAGCTATAATTATTAGTTATTAATAAAAAATACATTATTTTAGATATAATTCCTCAATAGAAGGCCAAAAAAAGAAAAATCAACGAAAAAAAAGTAAAAAGCGTAACCAAGAAAGAAGAAAAAGTGAGAGCGAAGCTGAAGATGATTCTTCAAACCATCAGGTAAAACATAACAATATCAACTTGTTTATATTTTGTTAATTTTATCAGGATACATTAGATAAAAAGCAACATTTTAAAGATAGATAAAAGAAAACTTTCCTAGATAAAGTGTTAATTAGATCAATAACACCTGTCAAGTTTTCCGTAGCAAACAAAAAGTAAATATTGTCTCAATTTTCCATTATCATGTTATGCCTAATTATGTAACGGATATTATGCGAAACATGTTTACAATCTCATTGCCATGGTCAATATTATGAATACTAATTGCTAGTTTATGGATGTTGGCCAATATGATGAAATTAGCGCGAAATTTAAACCACTTATAACACTTTGTATAGTAAAATATTGTGAAGAATATTATCAAGCATTAATTTTTATGATATGTAATATATGATATGATAATGAAGACATTTAAAATATATTAATTGCCCCATTGGTTTTGTAAGCATGTTCGTTGTTATATCATCAAGTCTCGAGTTAAATTTTTTTCAGAAAAACAATTCTATAGTAGCTCTGAGAACATTGACGGCTCGTGTATTTTGTAAACACGTAAAACTGTCAGTCCTTTATTATCAAACAAATCGGTAGTGACATCGGTCATCTGATGTTAAATGATACTGCCCTTGGACACACACTGCTAGAAGGCTCGTGAGTGTGTTGCCGGCCTTTTAGGAATCGCACTTCTTGTGCTATTCACATCATAATTTTAATGTATAATATTGTTCAGATAAATGAGTGTGACTGAACATATTGAATGTGGTATCGCTCACACAGGATATTATGATAATTATGTAGGTTATGCGTTTAGAATATTTTTACTTAAGGCACTAACGCCTCAAACATGAATTTTAGACTAAAGATATTTTTTATTATTTTCCAGTCTAAGCCCCGTCTGAAGTCAGCCATGAAAGAGCGTCGCGACAGCGGACTAGCAGACACTTCGGACGCCGAAGGTAACAAGAACATGTCTGACATTGACATGTACAATTCTGCCACCGAAACAGATGAAAATTGTAACGGAAACGAATCTACTTCCGAGGAATTTTACAAAAAAATTAATATAACGTCCCAACGAGAAAATAATGTTAAGAAGATGTCTAAAAAGGGTAAGCGCTTCGATGATGTCAAGCATAATACAGAGTTATATGATCCTGACAAATTGAACAAGGGTCAGTACTTGGAAGTGAAGTTTAAGAATGATCTCATATTTGATTTAGACATGTAATGTCATTTTAATTTTTAGAAGAGCTGTATTGAGTTTTATTTAGTCCAGTTTGTAAGCGCACATTAGAAATGACGCATCGGGTTTTCTTTTTTCATACTGTGCGCTGCTAATGTTTTATATTTCCCTGATAATTATGTTCCTTTAAACCTAGTGTTTTCTTGTTATTGTAGAAGTTTATGACAATGGTTAAGAATCAAATGCTTTTAAAAATCGCAGTGAATATTTTAATTTTTTTACGAATATTAGAAACTTTTTAAAAATGGCACGGTGGCAAGTAGTCATATGTCAATGTCAATTATCAAGCTCAGTGAATTTTACCATAGATGTCAGTTAGCTGTTAATCGGAACCCAATGATAAAAGGAATTTGTTTTGTCTTAATTTTAGTTGTGAAATGAACTGTTTTAAAATAAACATTCGTAAATGTTATCAATCATTAAAAATGTTATCTGCAAGAGTTTGACCCACATATACGATTATAATTGTATATTATTATGTTTATCAGATAATTGTGTAGATAAACTTCCGTTTAAGAAATTGTTTGTATTATTGATACTTTAATATATAGGTAATGGAAAAAAAATCACCATATTAGGAGGGGGCATTAACCTAAATCACTCATCGAAGATTTTATTTCATCTAAGTATGTGATGTTTGAATTAAAAACAGTAAAAAAGTGTTGTTCCTTCACTATAATTTCAATGGTTGACTCAAAATTAAAACGCGATATAATATAAATCACAAAGTCAGGCTAGTATTTAAAGCCAAAAAATTTATTACATTATTGCATCATATTACTTTGGTCAAGCTGTTACTAGCGATTTAATTAAATATTGTAAATTTTACGAGTTATTTAATTAAAAGCGAATGGCGCTTACTTCATTTTTGTTCCACGAAATACTGTATGGTCCGTCTCATGTCACGCGATCTTTGGCCATTTGTTTGTTTCAGACGAGAACACTACATTTCTTTGCGCCAGCGCTCGACATAATATTATAAATTTCAATAATAAAACAAATACTATTACTAAAAACTAAACTAACAGTCTTGCACATTTATTTGATTGTAAGAATATGTAATACGTAATTATTTAATTGAAAATATATATGTAATTTAAATGAAACCGCGTAGTATATGCAAACTAAACATATATTTAGTGATTTTATTGAAAATTATACTTACATAATTTTATTTGCCGCTTTTAGGTGTCAATTAATAGATAAAACAAATCAACTAAAAATATTCGATGAAAAATCTCGTTTTTATATTACATTTTTATGATAACATATATAAAATGATTCTCATAAACATTCATCATTTTCCAAATTATGTTAAAAATTGGTTCATAAGTTATAGAGACTATCCTTACAAAGAAACTTAAACTACTTGCTTTAAGTTTTCTAATAAGCATTATTATAAATAATATAGATGACCACAAATTCTTCATTATTCGTCCACTTCACTATACTGTAATACATACATGACAATTGACACAAATCCTAAACTAATACATAATACTGTAGCAAATAATAAATGTATTTCCCATCTACAGCTTAGAATTTTGTTTGTATTAAATGCCGTAAATATCGTAAAATTGTGCAATAGATTAGTTAATGCCCTTTTTAGCTCTGACAATTACAAAAAATACACTTAGACGCAGGTGAGCAGGCACGCATTACGCAAACCGCATAATAATATTTTATCTAATTGTATTGCATTTACTACGCACTGTGCAAAATGCCCTCGGCGTGTCACTCAAGGCTGTGTATTATAGATGCGCGACCGTTGCACTGCGGTGATTGCGTTTGTCACTAAAGAGGGACAGGGACACGCGCGGGTGAAATCAATTTTTTTTCTAGCTTTAGAAGCGTTCTTAAACGTCCTGTTAGCCTAGATATGGCTTAAGTCAATTTCTGCTTTCAAAGCTGTTCCTAGCAGCAGAGCTTATTATCTTCTAATGGACTACGACATGGATTAATAGCATTGAGTTCCTTTTTTAAATAGATGAGATGTTTTTGAAAACCATAAATAATAAAATTACGTTAAGTTGTTATAATTTGTCAAGTGGCAAACTTATTTTGAAGCTGTATTGTAATCTTTTTAATCGTGAATCATGCTCATTGTAGACAATAGAATAAACGACAGGAATGATTATAGTACAAACTAGGTGTAAATTTGCAACATAGCCTTAAGATAAGCAGATTTTGTAATGGGTTTCATCTTTCAATATTATTAATTCAGTAATTCGATAAAACTGTTGTCATAATACTTGCATTTAATTAACTTTAGTCGAATGTATTAAGCCCTCCAATACATACTATGTAATTTGTAATTTTGCTATCCAACGCATTCGTGGTTGTGTATTGGCGGCGTTAGTTACGTGTTTGTAACTTTAATTGTGATGTTTATGATTTTAAATAGATTTATTAAACTTGTATTGGTGTTTAATTTATTTCCTTAGACTTTAAGATCTCCACAAAATTAAAAAAAAAACATTGAATCTTTGTCTTGTCAAAGAGTTCTTTCTTTAAAAAATACTAGCTGACCCGGCGAACTTTGTTCCGCCTTAATGGCAATAAATAAGCAGATTGTTTTTTTTTATTGGAAAAAATACAAAAAAAATTAAATACCTACATTAATCATTCATTATTATTAGTACATAGGTTGCTCTTCACTTAAGTACCTTGTGATACACGACATTTTTTGTTTTATTATCAGGCGCAAAAACAAACAACGCAGATGGTCTTCCGACCCGTGAACATGCCACGTATAATTGACCATGGGAAAAACATGAATGTTCTAGATTTAAACCACAAACTTTTAAGGATTGGCCTTGTGATTTGTTGATGGTCATGGCAAATGCAAGACGTATCGGAAATTGAAGTCTTTTAAATTAAAACGGCATATCGGTTGGGATCATCGGGATCCTCGGAATGAGAACTTCCTCACCTTTGAATTTTCCTATCATTAATTGATAATTATAATTATCAATATCATTATCCTAATGTTGACTGACGTTTCATGTCAAGTCACACGGGAACGCTGTCGAACGGGATAAAAAGTATCTTATGTCCGTCTCCTGGCTCTAAGCTACCTCCCTACCAATTTTCAGCCAAATCTGTTCTGCTGTTCTTGAGTTACAAGTGGTGTAACTAACACGACTTTCATTTTTATATATAGATGAGGAATACGACAAGATTGTGAATGGTTTGACGAAATTTAGCCGCAGGTGTTAAACCATGATAAATGCGATAGAAGCTACAGTGATGGTTTCAGCGCCAAATCCTATCAGAAAGAACAAGGTCGTAGACGTTTCGAGGTGTTCTGCGATGCGGCCAAAAGTAAAGGAGCTGGTATTTGGGAGGTTATAGGCAGAGGTGGGAACAGTACTCCATGTGCCGGCGGATTTGCGTTTTTGTGATGTACGCCTTTTTGTGTCACGCCTTGCTGACATCAAGCTCAGCTTAGCATTCCCTTTCAGATGACTACAAAAATGAACGTCGATCGATATTCCGACACTTGGTATTCCCATGCGAGTTGAGGCTTTTAGAGGAGTGTCCTACGAATTGTGGTGTTACGACACAGGGATTCTTCTTAGCGGTAAAGTCGGCTCCAGTCCGAGACCTCGAGTAATAGTTTCGATTCCAGATACAAGTTTGTCCCGCAACATCCACCCGAGAAATATTTGCAAGGCCGGTGTAAAAGGCGTCATCAGCATAGCAATGAACTGCTGAACTGCAATATATCATTGATATTCCCCTTGCATATTGGGAAAGTACACAGCTTCAGCATTTATGGGTTCTGTGTCTGAACATTGTTTCTATAACTTGTCATGGTCATAGCAAACCATTGCATATTATACGAGTATTATCTGCCGTTTATGAAATTCCCTATATTCATTAATTAAGAAGACTTAATATTCTACCTTGATCAAACGTGTTATGCGATACTTAATAATTTAGGTTAAAAGGCCTATCTATGGGCGGCGGTATCACTTAACATCTGGCGAGCCTCCTGCCAGTTTGCCCGCTGTTATATTAAAAAAACGAATGATAGTTTGTGGTATATATTATACTTTTTGTTTTAAAACAGCTTGTCTACCACTGGATACTAAGTTCGCATTAGGTAGACACAGGGCCAGATTTAGAGGGCTGGAGGCCTCGGGCAAACAAAGGAGTGGAGGCCAGGGGCCCCAAATTATTTTTCAAATAAAATGAATAACTTTTTTCAGTCGAGTTTTTCAATCAATAATTTATTGTGAAACCAAGTAGATTCTTTTAGTATTTAACAAACATATAAAAATATATCAAAAGAAAAGTTGTTTACCTACTAGTTTTTACTAGTCGGAATTTAAAAAAAAAACCTCCGAAGTCTATTTGGGTAGACAATTTCAAGAATTACGGACGCAACCAATCACAAGAACCAAGAGCAATATGTACTACAGTTATTGTAATACAACATTTTTTCAACGCGAATTTAATGCATTAAACTTTGCAACATTCATGGACAGCGGGAGACTTTCAATAGAAATGTTGAATTGTTGAGTTTAGAACTTCGTAACTGTGGTTAATTCTTGACAACAACCTTTCTTTTCAATTATTGATATAGCAGGCCCCCAGACATCCAAATCTGACAAAGGTGCACGTTACATTTTATATAGGTAAATATTATATTGAATATAATATAAAGAATTAATTGTTTCCGTTCACATTGTATACCAGACTAATAACATAATTTATATTTATTGGATATTTTATGTGGCAGTGAAAAGAAAATCCAATATCATTTAATAAGTTGAATGAAACCAAGGAAATGGGTATAATTAGGTTGAGGAAAAGTAAAGAAGCCTTCGAAAGATAAATTGTCGTAGGTACATTTCATTATAGAATTTACCATTTTAGAGATTTATTTCAAGTAACGAGTGAACAACTGCCACCGCCATGTGTGGACCCTTGCGGCTGAAATTTGGCAAGGGGTCTTCTATCCGGTCGGGCACAACGGC